CTACTCTTATCGATTTTAGACCACCAAGGGATCTTTAACGTGCGCAACTTGCACACGGGCCCTCCGAGATTTTTCGCCCTTGTCCGAGAAGATTAGGTGTAGATCTTTCTTACCAGAAGATCGGGGGTGTGGCTGAAAGACAGATGTAAGAAGAAGCGCAGGAGTAGCAGTAGAAAGGCTGCAGAAAGAATCAGGAGCTCAGAGGAAGGGGCAAAGGAGGTGAGGAGGTGGGGACAGAAAGAGGAGACGAAAGCAGACGACAGAACATTGCTAGAGAGCAGGAAATGAGGTGAAAGGAGACAAATTTAGAGAAGAAAATTTTTCGGTCGTACCTGGATTCGAACCCCGGACCTTTTGAATGAGAGGCCAACACCTTAACCTCTAGGCCACGAGAGCCCCCAATAGATAGATATAGGTCTAGAGAGAGAGAGAGAGAGAGAAAGAGAGAGAGAGAGAGAGAGAGAGAGAGAGAGAGAGAGAGAGAGAGAGAGAGAGAGTGTGTGTGTGTGTGTGTGTGTGTGTGTGTGTGTGTGTGTGTGTGTGTGTGTGCTGACATGCAACATACCACTTATCCCAGGATAGTTTGGCTGTGTCGATCGAAGCAGCCTGCGTCCCGTGTGTTATAAGTTATGTTAATTGAGAGGCAAAGCATGTGCTGTCACTTACAATACGACATTCGGGACACACTCTCGATATTTGGCGGATGGTTGAACGGCACCAGCAGTAGGTCCTATTTCTTTTCTTTTGCCTCTGTTGTTTCCGTTTGTCTCGTTTATGTCCTTGCGGTAAATGACCGTTATTGTGTTGATGCACTCCACTTTACTCAAACAAAACGACGTAATAAGCTTGTCTTTTTCCCCCCGGCCCTCAGACAGTGTGTGCTGACACGTAGCGCTTTCTGAGTACCCTTACCGACCTGGCTGATACGCTGAGATTGTGTGTGATTAAGTGGGTGGTCGGAGGGTTCCACTTGTTGGTCTTTTCTGTCCCTCTGTAAAATTTGTCTGTCTGTCTTGCTTTTTCCTTGCTCTATGATATGGCTATTTGTGTGTATATGTGTTTCGGTTTACTCACGTTACTCAAAAACGGTATTGCTGGGTGTTTTTCATGTCGATGTTTTTCGGTTTACTCACAAACTGTATTGCTGGGTGGTTTTGTTATGGAAGCAACGATCAATGTTGGACCCGAACTGAAATTCGAACGCACAAGCTTCCGATGCGCGGGGTCGGGCCACCTATTAATTCACGAAGCTACCGACTCTGTAAACGAAAGTTACCGCGTCCTTCACCTTGCGGGCCAAACAATGAGTCCCCTAGACGGGACGTGTCCCCTGGGAGGAAAGCTGTCTCAGCACTGAAAGGACCTTGACCTTTATGTATCAGCCCATGTTCCGGGTCTTTTAGATACTGTGTACCGTTGTTCGTATCCAAGAGGGTTTTTTTTTTTTTTTTTTTTTTTTGGGGGGGGGGGGGGTGGGGTTGTTTCCAAGCATCGGCGTGGATTTTTTTTTTTCAGCACAGCATCGGGGGGGGGGGGGTTCAGTGTCCATAGGATCATTAAGACCGTACCATACCATGTCATACCACGCCATACCAAATCATATAATTATAATACCCTACCATACCATGTCATACCAGACCATGCCATATCATTCTGTGCCGTGCCGTGTCATGCTATACCCTGTAATACTCTACCCTATTGAATATTTATCAAACCATCCCAACCCATACCACTCCATATCCTACCCTACTCTACCTTTCCATATTTAACCGTATTATTCCGTACCATACCACACCACACGATGCCATACGAGTTGGTTGAAGGGTGCAACTGGTAGATTCAATTTCTTTTCTTCCCCTCATACTGATCTTTGTCTATCTGGCTTACTATTTCGCAGCACTAAATAATCGTGGTTTTTCTCGATGTGCTTCTTTTTTTACTCAAACCGTCAACGACAGCCACGCCACTCCACACTACACCTCACCGCACCACACCACTCCACACCACACCGCACCGCACCACACCACACCACACCACACCACACCACACCACACCA